ATGATACTAATTATGCACTATAAATATTAATCCTGTTATATAGGTCTGGCAAAATTTAAAAATATTTGACTTTTCAAATATTGGTGTAAACATATACCAAACATGTAGTATAGCCTATTCAACAAATGAAACTCGTGAAGCAATAAAATACGTCTCCTCTCTGTGTGTCGAACGAGATCGATCGAACTTTCGCTCCACCACCTTTTCCCGGCATATAGTGATGGCATGCTGACATAGTTCAACTGTACACACATGAAGTCACTAATTTGAAACATCAGAGCATGGTACTTGTTGATTGGAATCTTTGACCACTGTTGGGAGGATATCCGTAAATACTCCCTCCGTTCGTAAAATGATACGATATGAGATTTGTGTAAGTTAATTTTCTTAACTTTAACCAAATTTATAGTAACAGTATTAACATCTATATCTCTAACTAGGTTCACAACGAAAGTATATTTCATAATTAATTAATGACACTTATTTTATATCATAAATTAATAAAATTTTATATAACTTTGATTAAATTTTAAATCATTTGACTTCTCAGGAAGTAATAATTGTATTCTTTTGTGGCGTGGGCAGAGGAAGCAGTAAAGTCATGCAAGTAAACGACTTGTGTGACACGGCAATTGGAACAGGGCACGTCAACAACATGTGTGTGGTTGTACAACTATCACATCCACAACTACTTGCTCAGATCTAGAATATGATCATGAAAAACTATATAATGCATAATCTTTTTATTAGAAATATCATATTTTTTTCACAAAAAATGCTAGCTAGAATGTCACCCCGTACATCTAATCGATTCCCTTGGTGGATTTATTTTAAACTAACATTTAAAATGTGTCTTGCGACGCAACATGACCCAATACATTTGGAATTAGATCTTGTACCATCGTTGGACTTAAGTCGTTCTAACTCATATGAGCAGAGGAGCGAGTCCAAGTCACATATATATGGGATATGGAGGACGCAGTAGTATTTTAGGAATAAAAAAACATGTTCGAAAAAACCATTCATTCTTTAATATTAGGTCGAGATATAATAATATGAATTATTGTGTTAAATTTAATTTGGCTTGGTCTATTTTATATTTAATTAAATAAAAATAAATCTCATGGGCCGTAGTAAATGTTAGGTGCTATAAGTGCCGCATGAAAAATTGACGAAAGGTTCACTCGATTTGTATGGGTGACTTTGGCGTGCGCATGTTATGATGATGTTGATGAGAGAGGAGGAGGCCATGCTACCCGCGACGTGCACGAGCTCGGTTATAGTCTTATCGATAACAGCTGCATCCCTTGAGGGCTAATTTGGAAACTCAAATTCTCTTGAGATCCCTGACTTTTTCCAGAGCGGAGAATCCATAGGGAAATAATTTGAATAATTATTTAGTTCTTCATTGAGGATTTTCTATCCATGGGTGTGTCTCCCCTTACTTCCAAATTAACCCTGACGGTGTCTAGTCTAGGTGTGTGTTCCCCCCATGTTGCCTAATATAACAGAAGGGTGCCCTCCAATCTTGTGCTCTTCTCGCACCACTTCACCACGTCAAGTGTTGAACAGCCACAGATATCAACTAGTGGAAGCGGTGTCGCCAGTGTCTTCGGCACTAGTCCTGCCTCTAGATTGCTGTAGCTCTTTTAGTTGCTTTGTTTTTTTTTCATTTGACCAGTATCTTTTTAGCATGATAGGAGTGTTAGTCATTGCTATACAACAAGATCACACACACGCACATATATCTCACAGTTATCTTTGTTATTTTTTAGATTAAAATATGTCATAATTTCCTAAACTTCTAAAATCTAAAAACCTGATAAGGGTATCTACTAAAATCAAAAGATGAAGCATTACATGATTTTAAGATCTACAAATAAAGTTGAAGTAGAAAACCGTACCTGAGAGAAAAGACTGAACGGCTACGGTCAAATCATGAGATAACATTTTACAAATTAGTTTAATATGGAATTATTAATGAGAGGACACCTCCATATTCACCATAATTAGATTTGTAAAGTCGTGAATAATGTATGAGCTTCTCTTGTGTGGAATAAGATCGATATGCTTCTGTCGTTGTGAGGATTGGAAGATGCTGTTTTGGGGTGCTGACACTGCTTGCACGTAACTGTGTTCAACGGCACCCACACGAAGACTGATCCATATGAACTGTGGAGAATTGAATTCACGGCGGACGTACTTGTATGCAGATAAGCCATGACTGAAAGTACTGTTGTCTGATTTGTTGTGAGAGAAAAATACTGTTCGTTGGCTAAAAAAATACGGCTTATAAGCCAAACGAACGGGACAAAGGTTAACACGCACGTACCCCTGAGTCCCTGAACTGAGCGATCTCTCCTCTCCTCACAAGAATGGCATGGCAGGGCACTGGGGTTTCAGTTTTCAGTTTCCGTCGTGAACCCGCTCGCTCAAACGGAATTGCAAGGGCTCTGTTCACACACACTCACAAACTCAGCGCTTGAACTACGCAAACGCATGCCGCGTGCGTCTCATCTTCCGGAGCCCTGCCCACCACAAAGGTCCCCCCACCAGTACCATAACCGCGATGCGCATTATTTCTGCCAGGGCAATGAAATGAAACCGCCACGGTGAAGCGGCACATTTGGTTCCGTCCCATGATTAGGCCGCGTTTAGATGCCAAATTTTTTTGGTTTTGGGTAATGTAGGCTGTTTGTTTGTATTTGGCAATTAGTGTCTAATTATGGACTAATTAAGTTCAAAAGTTTCGTCTTGTGATTTCTCACCTAACTGTGCAATTAGTTTTTTTTCCGTCTATATTTTGTACTCTATGTATATACCGCAAGATTCGATGTGATAGATACTACGCAAAATTTTTTGGAATCTAAACATGCCCTTAGCCATGCTAAAAAGGCCCCCGTAATGCCATGTCTGCCAGGAAAAGCGGACGCGTTTCCCCCACGCAGCCGAATGCACGGAAACGGCCGAGACCGAAACTTGCAGGAGGACAGGGCCATGCCGACGCGGACGGGGCGCGCCCGTTTCCAGTTCGGCTGGGAGCGGCAGGCAGGTCAGAGCGCCGCGCCGCGCCGCCGCCGTGCAAGTTGGAGTACGGAGTAGCATGGTCCATGGATCGATGATGCGGCTACTCGGCCTCGTCGGCGAGCCGAGACGTGGCGTGGCGGAGGGGGGGGGGGGCCGACACGGTCACGTGGCCCCCGCGCACGTGGCCCCCGAGCGCGGGTCGGCGGGGGCACGCCGCAGCAGACCGCCTAGTGGTGCCGCCGAACGCTACGCTTCATGATTCAGGGAAGCTGGGCCTACTTCTGCTGCCTTCCGCAGTGCCGCCGCTGCCGCTGCTCCTGCTGCTCTCGAATGATGGCGCCCTCCCACTCGGTCAGGTCAGATCAGGCTTTGCTCGCTCGCCTGCAGCCTTTGTGGCGCCGTGGTCCACCGGCGAGCGCCCGCGCGGAACCGCGGCAGGAAGGGAGAAGAATCCAAAGTCTCGCGACGTTTTGGCGCGGACAAACAAACAACGCACGCGGCCGCAGTTCCTGCCGCCTGCTACTGGTGCCGGTCGGGTGAACGAGCCCGGCAGGCAGGCGAGCATCAACAGTCCGTGCCTCTGTTCATCTTTGGGAATCGAACATCCAATGCAAGAGCCTCGTTTTGTCTTTCAGACTGGAGTATGGGTTTCCCGGGCCCGGGGTGAACGTGCACGGAAGAACCGTCGCAATGGCAGCAGTGCGTGTGGTTTCTACTCCTAAATTTTAGTGGCTGTCTCGTTGGATGTTTAATATATATATAGAATATTAAATATAAACTAATTATAAAACTAATTGCATAACTTGTGACTAATTTACGAGACAAATCTTTTAAGCCTAATTAGTCCATGATTTAACAATATAATGCTACAGTAAACATGTGTTAATGATAAATTAATTAGGTTTAAAAAAATCGTCTCGTAGAGTACTAACGAATTATATAATTTGTTCTTTTTAGTATCACCAGATCCAAACACCCCTAGCTACCAGAAGTACATCTAATCCAATCACCATGAATCTAGCGATGGGTAAGTTAAATGTTCGCACTTGTTGGTCCGATGCAACAAGGAATGCAGCAACAACGCCACTGAACAAATATCAAGTACTATCTTTCTTCTCGTGATTTAGTTGGCAAAATTTTTTGGTTGTGGGTACTGTAGCACTTTCGTTTGTATTTGGCAATTAGTGTCTAATTATGGACTAATTAGGTTCGAAAGTTTCATCTCGCGATTTCTCACCCAACTGTGTAATTAGTTTTTTTTCGTCTACATTTAGTACTCCATGCATGTGCCGCAAGATTCGATACGATGGATACTGTGCAAAATTTTTTGAGTTTTGGGTGAAACTAAACAGGCCCTAAATCTGTTGCCCACTAAGGGCGTGTTTAGATCCAAGATCCAAATTTTTTTAGGTTTGGGCTACCGTAGCACTTTCGTTTATATTTGGTAATTAGTGTCTAATTATGGACTAATTAGGTTCGAAAGTTTCATCTCGCGATTTCTCACCCAACTGTGCAATTAGTTTTTTTTGTCTACATTTAGTACTCCATACATGTATCACAAGATTCGATGTGATGGATACTGCGCAAAAGTTTTTGAATCTAAACAAAAAAAAAAGAAAGGAGGAAATTTTCTAGTGAATACTAAAAAAGAGGGCTTTCTACATAGGGATCGTCAAAACAACGATTTTACCCTATCAGCTGTAGGAAGGAAGGACACTTCACGAGAATCAAAATAGGAAGAAAGTAGAGCCTATACTACTATTCTATGGATAAAGCTGAAATTGATAGAGAAAACACCGTAAAGATCAATTAGTGAGCGACTGGGTCGATACAACTACAAAAACTGCTTCATTATACCACGATATGGGACAAAATTTAGGAATCCGCTTACGTAATAAAGCCGATCCACTAAGGGATTAAGCAGCGGCAAAAGTTTTTGAATCTAAACGGAGCCTAATTTACAATAATTATTACTAGGGCATGGAAAGCTCCAACCGCCTCCCCTGCGAGCAACCGCCACCGCCGCCGCAAGGCGATCTCTGAACCGAGCTAAGGAACGCGGCGCAGAGCACCGTGAGCTCCAGGGCCAGGAGCTTCCCGTCGACCAGGCCGATGAGGACGATGGCGACAAGAACTAGAGCAGGGAACCGGATCCCTGCTTGCTCCTCTTCCTCTTCCTCCTCGATGAGGTCGTCCACCGACGCATCGATTTCTACGGGCGCGGCAGCATCTGCTTCTACGCCTTGGCTGCGGCGAGAACCCCTCGAAGAATCCGCCTCTTTGGCAGCGGCGTCGTCCTCCGCGGCGACACCGGTTTGACCGGCGGAGACACGGCGGGAGCCCGAGGAATCCGCCGCCTTGGCATTGCCACCGCCGCGCGCCGTGGCATCGTCCGCTCGGTCGCCCTCGCTGCGGAAAGAGGAACCTGACGAACCAGCCTCCTTACTCCTCCGTCCTCTGTGCAGCTTCTTGGCGCTGGCCGCGAGCAGCTTCTTCCAGGATTTCTTCTTTGCCTTTGCCTTCGGGTTGCTTGATTCGTCGAGGACGCCGCCGCTGCTTTCTTTTTCTTCGACTTCGACGGCCAGGATGCAGGCGTCGCTTGCCCTGTCAGAATCCGAGCAGCTCGGCCGCGACGGCTTGGTCTCCGCGTCGACTTCCCGGATCGGCGAGACGCGCCCGCGGCCGTCCTCCAGGCAAAGCCGCCTCTCGGTCACCGCCGGCCGGGGCCGGGGCCGCCTCCTGCGGGGCAGCGAGGACGACGACCTCACGGACTCGAGCAGGTAGAGCGAGAAGGAGGCGATGGTTCTTGACGACGAGGTCGGCGAGGGAGGTGGGGAAGCCGGTCTGGACGGGGAGGGGCCCGGCGCGGGAGGGGCGGAGCGCGGCGAGGAGGCGGCCAAGGCGGTCGGAGGGGCGGTCCTTCGGCGGGCTGGGCATCCGCGGCCGCGCCCGTCGCCGGGGAGCATAGGAGGACGGAGCGCCGGCGCGCGGGCCGGGGGGAGGTTGATTGGGAGGGGTTTCTTGGTTTTTCGGTGCTGTTTGGTGCTGTCTCCTCTCTGGGTTGGTTGCCGTGGGTGGCCGAGTTCGTGTCCGCAGTCCCTCCGCTTTTGGGGCGTGCGGAGACCGTGGGGGAGACGGCGAGCGCGAGTGCCGAGTGGGTTTTGTTTTCTTTTCAACTTTTCTTTGTCTTATTCTTATTTTTTGGGCTCTTAGAAAAAGAATAAATGGAGCCGGGTTTTTGTGATTGGCCAAGTTTGAAATGGATGGAAGGGAAGCGTGTTTGGGATGGTTTTGCTGGGAGCGGTTGTGGAAGAGCACGGTGGCTGTGTCGAAAGAACATGGAACACGCGTATGCTATTTCATAGCAATCAGCCTATCGCTCCTAAACATGTTAATAGTTCTAAAAGTTAGAATTTTGTGGATGAATTTTGGGCCAACAACAAATACAAATTACTTTAAAAAAAAACTTTGCTGTCTTGTTTGTTCTTAATTCAACACTGTACTCATTGGTTATCGGATCAATTACCTACACGCCACTATAAACGACACTCTAAAAGATCAAGATTCTGTAACCGCAACTACAAAAAATTGTCATGTCTAACATACCATCGTCAAATTTTACACCGCCATTAGTTTTGTTAGGCCTAATATTCATTTTGACCGGATACTACTATTTTTTCTCAAAATGGCAATTTTGCCCCTCTACCTTTGCTTTGCCTTCAAGCCGCTAGGATGAGCCATGCTCCCACTAGGAGTTGTCCTCCATGAGGATTCGACCATCGGAGTGCTCCATGATGCCGCACAGGAAATCCCCCAAATCAAAGGGGATGGGAGGCGTGTAGGCCGGCTTTGCAACCGAGGCCACCTACACCCTCGCACTGCACCGCCTACACCACGCCTCACGCTGGCCTGCGTTGCGTCACCTTGCGCCGGCCCATGTTGCGTCTTCTCGATGCTGTAATTCGCCATGGTTCGCATTGTGCTGCCGTCCACGCTCCTGAGATTCGTGCTCTAGTTAACCATTATATCAATCTTGTTCCCTTGCAAGCTCCTGAGATTCGTGCAAAGAGTGAGGTTGTGAGCTCCATAGTAGAGTTGTGTGCTCCAGAATAGAAAAAAGTTGACCAAAGCATGGTTGTGCTAAGGATTGATTGATACTACACGGTAACACTAGAGATCCAAGCATATTTGAGTTATTTCTTTAGGTAGGTAATTCATGGCATCAATTCAAACTTCTTCCTAAAAGACCAAATAAAATAGTACATTGGAGAATTAGAGATATCTTCCTGATATGAACCTTTCTATTACCCTTTCGTCATCTTCCTTTGTTATGTAATGTTCTTAGGTTCACGTTCTAATGCAGTTTCTAATATTGTGACTTATTATTGCTACATGGTAACCCCAGAGATCCTAACATATTGGATCATTTCTTCAATTAGCTAACTTATGGCATCAATTAAAAAGGTCTGTTCAAAATTGCCCCTACAAAATATACAACAGAGATAATATCCGACCTAAACTTTTTATATAGTTTGGTTGAGGAATTACTAAGTCCTATCTCACCACATATGGTACAGATGAAAGTTTAGCAACGCTGTTTCTGCTCTATGCAAAACAATTATAGTTTCTCGTTTCTATGTATAATATAGGCGTATTATATAGCACAAGTAGTTGTGCAATATATTGACATGCTTAATTTTTTTTTCATACATGCGGTTCTACTCATTTGTAATGCTATTTTCAGCTCTTACCTTTCTACCAGCTACATCTGAAGCTAATTATTTCCTCTATGCATATTGCAATGCTACTACGGAACATATTGTTCTATCATAGCAATGATGGTTTTACCGTGATTCCAAATGTATTCAAGAGTTATCACTAAGCGTAGAGAAATGTAACTTGAAAGCTATTGGGCGGCTATTTTATACCAATGTAAAGACATAAATTTGTTGAAATGAAGATTTCATCTCAAATACCATCACTCAAGAGCTCTATCATCCTAACCTAAAGACCTACACTGGTTCGAATTTGTTTGTCAGTGTGTATTCCTATTAATACAGTGACTTCATCAATCTTAAAATATGTCGGCCAGCTTTTCAAAAGCATTAATAGGAGTATTAAAAAAATAGCATACAACAACGCCATGACACACGTTTAAACATTTGAAATGCAATAGAAGATAAGCCGATACATACAAGGGCTCCGTACATACATAATCCTATATACCGTAGCCTTTTAAAAGTTTTTTTTATGGAACCTATTACGAACAATTGGAAAATAAACATACAACCATAGCACACATGCAATTGCGTTTACTGGGTGTTCTCCTTATTTTAGCAATGCATGTTGTGCAATGGAATTCTAGAAGGAAAAAAAAAGCTCCTGAAAGTGGTAAAAGAAATCAACGCAGTTTTTTAAGCCGGGCCGTCACATACTCGCATGCTTGCGCGTGAAAGCCGAACAAGATCTTGGGCAGTTGTGGTGCTCTTTTCTGAAAGACACGGCCCCGCCGGCCCCGGCCCCGCCCCGCCGGCCGGCAGTTTCCACGGAAATAAACAAGAGAGAATTCTGAGCCACGAGCTCAGGACTTGTTTAAACGCACACTTAAAAGCGATGTGACATCGGATGTTACATGAAGATATCGTATAGGGTGTTCAGATACTAATAAAAAAAATTATAGAATTCGTAAGTAATTCACGAGACGAATTTATTAAGCCTAATCAATCTGTCATTAGCACATGTGTTACTGTAGTACAACATTGTCAAATACCTATTAGGCTTAAAAAAATCGTCTCACAAATTAGTCGTAAACTGTGTAATTAGTTATTTTTTAGTCTATATTTAATACTCTATGTGTCGGGAACCAATACTAGGGTACTCGAAGAGGAGGAGCTAATAGTCATCAACATTGATTCATCCTAGCAGTCAAGAGCGCGATTATAGCTCCAATCGACCCCCATGTGCGCGGGCTCCGCCTCGACCGACCTTTGGGGGTGGGGTCCGCCTCGCCCGACCTCTGGGTCAGGGGCTCCGTCTCGCCCGACCCCTCAGGCGTGGCTCCCGACAGAAGCCCGTACCGTCGCCAACCACTACGGGCCAGAAAGTACAACCTAAGGTTAAACTTCTGGCATCGTGCAGGGAGCGGGCACATCTCAACATGACCCGTGCCTACGACATGTCACTCCAGGGAACTCATATCACCAACAGTGATGGACGCATGGTCACTATGCTGCCTACTCCGTGTACGGTCGCTGACCAGCACGCTAGTTCGCCGCGTCGCCCGCCGGGACGGAACGGGACGTCACGACCCGCTGACAACGCCGGGGCGTGGCATCAACGGCGAACAGGCGCCCGGCGTGGAGCCGTCCATATCACCATCTGCAGTGTCGTCAGGACCCGCATAAAAGGAGAAGAAAGGTCCGACGGTCCTAGAAGCCTTCCTCTCCTTGGCTCTTCTTCCTCTTTCTCTTTACGTAACCTGCTCTTCCCCTTCGCCTATAAAAGGGGAAGCTGGACGTCCTAGGAGGGAGAACGGTGGTTCACCACTCTACACGGCTGCAGACATCAAAACACACGCCCTAACACGATTTAGGAGCACACGCACATAAGAGACTTGGGACATGTCCCTCTCTCGCTCGTTTGTAACCCCTACTACAAACTTTCAATGCTAGTAACATGAGCAGCAGCGATGAACTGGACGTATGGACTTTCTGCCCGAACCAGTATAAACCTCGTGTCCTCTAAGCACATCATCCGAGCTAGATGCGCAATACTAGAAATTTACTAGTTGGTAACTCGAAACACCGACAGTTGGCGCGCCAGGTGGGAGCTTTTTGCGCGTCTCGACGTCCATATCAGGCCTCGGATGGCTAGTCACGACGTCAGCTGGGTCCCGGGCACGCACGTGCGCTTTGAGAACCTGGACTTCATCGTCATGACAGGGGGAGAGTTGGTGCAGGCTCCCGTCACCGTCCAACCTCTCCACTCCACTGGCCTCGATGCGATCGCCGAGCCGCTTGAGGAGCTGCGGCTACACGCACCGGAGTCCCGTGCCCCCGGGAGCGACCAGCTCGGTTTCAATTACGGGAGGCTAGAACGCCAGCTCGGCGCCTTCCTGGGACCCTGACCGTCCTGGGAGGACTTAGGTCACCTCACCTTCTCGTTCGCCAACGTCATGACGCAGCTTGCCGGAGTAGAGCTGCTTTTCCTGAAATACCTCATCCGGAGCGCTCCGACAGCGCTCCCGTTCGGTCTGCGCAACGCCGCCGAGACCGTTGGCCACCTTGTGGCGCAACGCATGCCCCCATCCCCCACGAATGACGAGTTCGTGGGGATGATCGAATATGTCGCGGAATCTTTCCATGACCTCCTCGTAGGAGAATCGGAGTCGCCCTCCAACACTGACTCCAGCAGGGGAAGCCACCACCCCTCTCATGAATGTTTCATGGCAGGTACCCCCAAGGGGTACGTCGAAAGCATCCACGAGGGAGATGCTACCGCAACGAATGGCTTCGACGATGAGGTAGAGGGGGATGCAGGGGCCCTACCTCGCCTGTCGGTAGAGCCGCTGAAGGCCCAGCACCAAGCGCTCAAGGAAGCACTATTATAGCCCGAGCAGGAACACGCGAAGCTCGAACGAGAGATCGAGCACCACAGAGACGGTGGGCGTGCGTGCGCCGTGGTCCGCGACGTGAACCGGAGGATCATCGAGGATGATGAAGCCCTCCCACACTTCACCCGGATAAGCTAGAACATCGCTGCTTTGGCGGCCTTGCTCCAGGGGCTTCCGAGGCCCACGACACCCGAGGATCGTCGGGCCCATCATGAGATTCGCACACTACTCGAGCGTGCGGTGGTGCAACAGGCCGAGAGCTCGCCATCCTGATGATGCGAGCTCGATGCCAGCCAGCGCGTGCCCTCAGAGCAACCCAATAGGGATGTGTCAGTCCACCAGGCGCAGCAAGGCGGTAGGCCACGCGCCGCGGTCCTAGTGCATGAATGTCTCGGCCTCCACCATGACGCGCGCGACACCCTTGATGCCCGTAGGCGTACCCGTGGCGATATGAGGGAGGAGCCTAGCCGCTGCTACCACCCTCATCATAGCAGACGCTACGACAGTGGTGAAGACCAAAGCCCGAGCCCTGACTTGCCAGGACCTTAGGACTTTGGCCGACACATCCTCAACGCCGCCTTCCCACCACGGTACGGACCGCCGACCAACATCCCGAAATACTCTGGGGAAACAAACACCGAACTATGGCTCGAGGATTATCAGCTTGCTTGCCAAGCTGGTGGAGAGGATAATGATGATTTCATTATCCATAACCTTCCATTGTTCCTGGCCGATTCGGCACGAACGTGGTTGGAACACCTTCCGCCCAACCGAATCCAAAGTTGAGGGGACCTAAAAGAGATCTTCGTGTGAAACTATCAGGGCACATACGCGTGTCCTGGGAACCCATGGGATCTCAAAAACTACCGATCGGAGTCCGGAGAAACTCTTTATGGGTACATCCGGTGCTTCTCCCGGCAGTGCAACAAGCTGCCCAACGTCACCGATACCGACGTCATAGGAGCTTTCCTGTCTGGGACCCCCTATGAGTCCCTGGTTCACAAGCTGGGACATAAGGGCCTGCGAACCACCAAGGAGCTCCTCGACATCGCCACTAGTCACACCTTAGGTGAGGAGGCGGTCGGGGTGATTTTTGACCACCTCAAAGGCAAGGCAAAGCGGGACGAGGACGCCAGCGAAGGCGCCTCCAACCGTCGCAACAAAAAGAATAACAAGCAGCGACGCGAGGGCTCGCTCATGGCCACCGCCGACCGCAAAGGGGGTTGAAAGCCCGCCGAGGGTACCCCAGACTACTTTGAGAAGCTATTCGAAGGGCCATGCCTGAACCATGCTTTCCCCATCAAGCACCTATACAAGGACTGCATCCCCATGAAGCGGTTCTTGTCCAGAGGTTCTA